GGCGGCCCCCCGCGGCCGCGGCTCGCCCCATTCCGCCCTACCCTCCCCCCCACCAACCAGCCCTGCTTCCCGTCGGCCCCCCCATCTCCCTCGTCCAGTCCTGTTGCCCCCCCATTTGCTTTGTTTCCCCCCCTCCCTTCCCGGCCAGCACCGCTCCCCTCTCAGCTGGTCCTTCCTCTCCCTCCCACCATGAAGCGTGTCTGGTATTTATTTTTAATGACTACCTGGTAACCCTAGCAGTGATTCTATCCCTGTGATTACCACAGAGATTTAAACTGAGAAGCAACTTGCCTTCCCCCTCCCTCGAGTCCCCTCTGGCTCCCAACATCCCCAGTCCCCCGGCCCTTACAAGGCTGCCGGCACCAAAATGGTCTTGGAGTCTTTTTTTGCTCAACAACCTTGGTCTCCAGCCCCCCCTTTTTTTTCCTTCAACAGAATTTTTTCTCGGTGTTTTTTTGAGGGGGGGGGTTCGGTATTTTTGTTTCAACCATGTGGCAACCCTATGTACAATGGGTCCTCACATTATTTTAAGTGGCTGTAGAAGTCTTAGTTTGCTGTCCTGATGATTAATTTCTAAATAACCCTAAAGTGCTATCTGGGGTATGTTAGTGATAAGATTGCTTTTCAATTAGCTCTAGTGAGATTTTTTCAATTACGACTTTTTTCCCCGACAAAATATCTTATTAGCCTTAAGGGACTTTTGGGATGAACTGGTCATTTGATAAATAATTTCCTTTAATCCCATCTGTTGTTCCTAAAAATGTTAAGAACATGATTTAACAATATGACTCCTGGGAGTGCTTTTGTTCATCAAAATTTTATAGACAGTAGAGACTAATGCCAACTTTTGGTTTTCTATTGGAATCAGTGGGCATCAAGTAGTAGGATTAGCATGGCATCTGGTACTGCAACACTGCTGTTTCTTAATAGTGCAACAAGATTCAGTTATTACCTCTTGATCGCAATTCCTCTCAGAAAAAAACACCAAACATTTTCCCAAGGGAATACTTAGAGAACACTGATCATGTAAAATACATTATAATGCTTGGTCTGAATGGCCCCATCACCCATTTAAGTAGTTCCTAAAATTGTTTGATGTCGCCTTAAAATGTGTGAATTTAATTGCAGTTCTTCTGTTAAGTTTTCTGGAAAGTTTTTTAGAGGTAATACTAGAGGGTACAGAAAAACAAAATCTTTTTGTTTTATATTTTAACTAAGGAGCATTGCTATTAAAATCCCATGAAATGTTCAGTGTTTTGTTCAGCTCTTGAATTACTGCAGTTTATGGTACAGCAAAGTAATGAGCAATATTTTCTAATTTCAGACCTGCCCCCTGCATATTTCATATTTAGTATTTATTTCAGTGTTTCTCAATCAGTGAGCTTGTAATCAGGACTATTATACTGGCAACTAGTGTGTAGAACACACACAACATGATCCATTGCAGTGTTGGCAGAATGAGAAATGTTCATTGAGGTTGTTC